GGTGAGGCCTGGGCCGCAGGGCCTAGTCTCCTCGTGTGCCTGGTGCTCGTGGAGTTCCTGCATCGTTCGCCAGGGCCTCAGCTTTAGTGGGGATAGGCCTCGTTAAATATTTACGTGTGCTAAAACGTAGTTTTGAATGAGAGGTGGGAGAGTTGGAAATGCGCTGCTCTGATGCCACATTGAATAATGTTTGTTTACTTTAAAAATGCAGGCGCTGGTAACAAGGTTTAGCTCCTAGTAAATCTGAAGTTAAGACCTAGCAGAAAATTTCCTCTTGAAGAACACAGTAATTCAGATACTTCCTCCCAGTTATATCTTAAAAGTTGTGTTGACCCTTGCATACACAAATATAGAAATGAAATAACCTGAATTGTAAGGTACAACAAATGATAGATGACAAGCAAGCAGGCACCCTGGCGAGAAATTATTTATGTTCCTGCTCTTGCCAGAAGAGCTGAGGAGAATTAAATACGTTGAGGTTGTGTACACTTTATGTAGGTGTGCTGGATGGAGAGTTCACACACTATGAACTTGCTTTTTATGATTATATGTGGTTTATAGTTGTTTATTAAAAGGCTATTTGCATCATTCTATGCAGAGGGAGCACCTAGTGCCTGATTTTGCTAATTCCTGGTTTTGTCACTCTCTGAACAGAACTGGGATCGGGTCTACCCTTGCTCATGACGAACACCAGCTAAAGGAGGGGTAACTTGCTGTGTTAAAAACTACTTCAGAAGACAGAGCTGGTTTTGTTTTGTTGTTTGTTTGTTTTAACATTATGGATAAGAACTTTGAAGAAGAACAGTTTACAGGAATTATTAAATTTACACCTCCTTTGTACAAACAACGCTACCAGTTCGTGAAAGATCTAGTGAGGAAATACAAGCCTAAGAAGGTTGGTATGTTTTGTATATTTTTACATTATAAATTTGAAAACAAGTTGACATGAATTATCTTAGAAAGACAAGCAAAGTGTAGAAACCCTGCTGACCTAATTATCAAACATCAATAGAGGAGAAGCTATTGTTAAAAGTGAATTGCCTTAACAGACACTTGATGATCGTGTTTTGTTTTTCAGGAGTGCGTGTAATTAATGTTAATTGATGGGAAGAGGGGAAAATCTAAATAAGAAAAATGCCTTAGCCTACTTTTGGAGAGGTAGCTTTCTCGTTTTAATGCTGAGGGTTTTGGTTCAAGCTGCTTTCATCATGAGGTCATGGCACTGTAATCTGCTTTTTATATAGAATGTATTCAGGAGTGCTGTATCTGTATTTAAAGCTTTGAATTTTCCATTTTAGAATGTAAAGGGCTGGGGGGTGGGAGAGCAAGAACGGTAAACTTTTTGTTTACCCAAAGGGTGGAGGTAAACTGAATAGAAACGATTCAGGATTTTTACACTGAGAACAAACCTTAGCCTCAGGAAGACCAGTGGGGTTTGTTATTCGACTACCTCTTAAGCTTACAAGGAGTATCTGTTACAGATTTGACTTTGTGGTTTAAATATCCCCTTAAACGTTGTTTTGTGCAGTTTCTTTGCTGCTACCCCAGCTGCTGCTGGTGAGCCTATTATCAGTGTTTTGGATGGAGAGTAGTCTAGGGAAAAGCAGCAGTGAATGTGCAAATTCCTACAGCTTTAATACTTAAAGTCATACCTTATGAAGGGAATGTGCCTTCATATGAAAGACGTTCTCCGGAGTCACTGGGGGATCTGCATTTGTTTATAGCTGTGATAACAAAAGGTTAGTCCATTTCAAACATCTTCTAGGATCTTCATAAACACTTTTTGAAAGATTTTTCCCATCCAGCTTGCTTGCCACTGTAATTCGTAGTTATGATTGCGATATGTTTTGTCATATCATTAAAAAGAGACTTTGACGTAGATACAGCATTTTTATTTTATATTTTTACTCTGAAATTATTTGCAAATTTACCCATTGATCACTATCTAATTTACAGGTGGCAGATTTAGGATGTGCTGACTGCACGCTTCTCTGGATGTTGAAGTTCTGCAGTTGCATCGAAGTGTTAGCTGGGCTGGATACCTGTGCAAATGTCATGAAAGAGAAAATGTAAGCTCTTGCATTAACTGAAAGCGTGTGCTTGGCTTGACCTCGGCCTGGTGAATGAAGAGCTGCCTGTTGTTGTTAATTAGCTACGGGGCACCTGTGTCTGGGCATTGCTGGGCCGTGGATGCCGGTAGCATCACCTAATGTAGCAAAGGTCCAAGTCATGGAATGACCTTGAAGGTGTGTTTGTAAAAAAAGCAAAATAATTTGCCTTAGTAGCATCTGTTTATGCTCACATGTGGCTTCCCTGTGGTGTACAAATCGGATCTTCTGGAAATGTGCACGTAACTCTCCTTTAGTCACTGTGCTGGGGACTACGTTTGTGTTAAGGTGAAGGTTACCTCAGTGTTTTGTGTCTGGCTTAGAAGGATCTAAAATGTGAAGTTTGTGTCATCTTTGAAGCGTGGGTCGGACTGGTGAGGAACACTGAAGTTTGTTTTTTCCTTGAGAATTGAGAAAAGTAGCCTTTTATTGTGTTTAATGTTTATTGTGTGCTTTCTCTGACGCGATATTTCAGAATGAAATTTGCATATGTATTTTAGTTCTCAGTAAGCTTTATTTGGGAAAAAATGGGTTTATGCTGGCCTAGTAACTTCCCCTAAAACCCTGTAAGTCGTGTTTAAGCGGGACTTACTGTGTGCCTGGAGTTGAGTTACTGTCAGAATTTACAAGCAGCTTTCCAAGTGGCTTGATAGTGGAAATTTTTGTAAACATGCAGGACAACTGCTGGGTTAACTTCTCTACTCTTTCTGTTCTGGTGTAGATAGGAATAAAAAGTGTTTGTATTAGAAATTCTTTTTTTTTTTAATCCCTGTAAAGTAGTTAACCTTTTTGTGATGTACCAGCTATTTCTGTAGGGTGTTAGCTAGTTTAGTTATGCACAGTTTATCTTGTCCTAAGGTCCTTTCTGTGACACTGTATTTTTAATACTTTTACAGGCATAGATTGTCTCCTCTTCCTGTTGATTATTTGCAACCATCTGAAAGATCCTTAACTGTTACCTTGCTTCATGGTTCAGTTGCCCACAAAGATCCTTGCATGCTTGGTTTTGACTTGGTAACGTGTATTGAACTGTGAGTATTTGGCCAACATACTGCATTTTTCTAAGTTAGTTAGGGTCCAATTTGGAATTTTGTTCGTTCTCTAAACGAACTTGATCAAAGCTTTCAAGCAGAAGAGTAGCACAGTGTGGCATCTTCAGACTTGTGCTTAAATTAGCCATACTAGGAAATTTGAATGGTGCTAGCTTATGGTGGAAAAGGGATATTGATGAAAAAGTACAAAATGCACGACACAAACCTCTAAGCTGCCACTCAGCCACAGTGCCAGTGCTGGTATTGCAGAGCTAGGCTTAAAATTCCGAGGTACAAATATGGGTTTGGTGGTTTTTTGACTGGTTTTTAAGGAGATTGAAACACTGTTGGGTGTTTTTCAAGACTACTTATCCTTTACAGAATAGAGCACCTGGAAGAATCAGAACTAAAGAAGTTCCCTGAAGTGGTGTTTGGTTTCATGGCTCCAAGCATAGTAGTGATCAGTACTCCGAATTCTGAATTTAACCCTTTGCTCCCGGGAGTGGCTTTATTCAGGGATCCAGACCACAAATTTGAATGGAGCCGAGTGCAGTTTCAAAGCTGGTAAGTTTACTGTGTGCAGATGGCTTTGAGTGTTCAGTAGAAGTGAGAAAGGAACAGCTCTACATTTCCAGAATGGTTTGTGTGTGTGGTTTGGTGTTAGTGGAGTGTCACACCAGCCGCCTTGGTGAAGCGTTTCTGTCCAGTTATGAACAATGAAACATGCTCTGTGTGGGTTTTACATTTTATGATGACTGTTATGTTGGCTTGCCTTTACTGTAACTGCTCTGCAGATAATATTTTACTCTGTTTTTTAATATATCTGTATTACAGTTTGTGCATTTGAAGTTTAGTGTATTAATTAACCTTTTCACATAATGTACCCTGCTGTAGAAAAGTTTTATAAAGACCTAAGCTGTGTGCTCAATGAATGGTGTATAATTAAAGCACTCAATTAGTCTAGACCTCTCTAAGAGTATGCAAGCAGGTTTGTCAGATAATCACGGATCATGGCACAGTGAAAGACTTTATGCAGAACGTGTGTACGTGACAGAGGGTTCATGATATGCATCTTACTCTAATATCAGTAGATGCAATAAATCAAAACAGAAAGGGAATGGGATATATATCCTGTCATAACATTCAACGGTGATGAAAGAAAATACATGGTACAGTAAAAGCTGCCATACTTTGGTAGCCAGCTCTGGGTCAGAAATGGTATCTTGGCAAATTTGCCCCTTAAATTGGGTTATTTCTGCCATAGACTTGAAAATTATAAAGTATTTGAGTATATAGTTTTGCAAAGCTTGAGGCATATGTTTTCCCAAATATTTTTTTTTCCCCTAAATAATGATACTAAAACCTGCCTGCATTATTAGCTAGAGGATTAGTACCTTAGAGACCATTTATATGACTTGAAGTAAATTTAGATTCTGCTTTTCGATGTATGTGAATTAAAAACATTGATAGCCCTGACAGGGTGATACTTTTTGCACTGCAAGTATAAGTAGTGCAGTATTGTCTAAAATAGATGACATATTAATTTAGTTTACTGCTTTTTCATGAAGATGGATGCTGGTAGGTAGAGCTGTTTTGGCTCCCTGCCGCATGAATTTTCACACACTGGCTGATAGATTGGTTTGCCTTTAGATGTCATGTCCATTGCTGTGCCCTTGGTTAGGTATACCTTTATACATTTACAACAAACCTCACTTTTTTCCTATTAACTGATCTCTTGTGGGCTTGGGGTGTGTACGTTTTTTTATGGGTTCTTCTCAAATCGTTTTATTATCTGAAACTGGCAGGTTTTAGCTTGCTGTCAGTTCATTTAGGACAGTGAGTAAGCAACTGTGAACACGGATATTCTATGCAGATATTTTAGAAATAACAGTAATGTTACCGATAATAAATCATTCATGCCACGGTAGGCATATGATTTCAGCTCTGATTCAACAATTCTTGACAGTACTTACTTTCAGGCATATTAGAGAAATGATGCTCCAGCATTCACAGGCTCAGGGTCTTACTCCTGTTAGAGAATGCATCTTTATCACGTTAAAAGAACAATCTTTAGTACAACTGGTGTAATTTCTCTCTCTTTAGGGCTCTAGAGGCTGCTAGACGCTATGGTTACTCGGTGGAATTTACTGGTGTAGGGCACCCCCCAACAGGAATGGAGAACGTTGGGTTTTGTACCCAAATAGGTGTATTCGTTAGAAAATATCCTCAAACCACTGAATTTACTCAATCTGAGAAACCCACTGAAGCAGTTTATAAAACGGTAAGTATTACTTTCTTCCTTTAGAAGGATGATAAAGAGTATAATTTTCTATGACCTGTTTGTGAAGGTGTTTCTGCTTATGGTCTACTAGTGCTGGTCAGTACTAGCTCTGATTAACACACACTGTCAGATCAATAGAGTCCAAGTCCATGACTTGTGTTTCTAATTGAATAAAGGCCTTTAACTTTTAGGTTATTTGCCAAATAGTGGTATAGCTAATAATTCATATTTCAACGTAGAGTTATTCTTAGAATGAAAATTCTCCTTTTTGCCAAGTATACTGTGGTGATACAGTTGTTCATGTAATCATTCATTTCTTTTCATCATGTGGTCGTTGGCACTGACACAGATTTTTCAGATACGTAAAAAATAAAAAGCATTTAAAAGTATTTCTGACAGAGTGTATGTTTTGAAGGACTGCATAGGCTTGTCAAATATGTTTTCAGAAGGAAGGCATTTCCCAAAAATTGCATTGCCAGGGCCTGTTTTGTGTGGTTTGCCTCGCTCAGTAGTATTTGATTTTTTTCACCCTAATGTCAGTATTTTCAGGTAGCCAGTTCTGTTTGTTTTGGTTTTTTTGGTAGAGGCATGGGATTTTACCAAGTAGCCTGTTCTCCACTGGTGCCCATCAAACCTTTCTGGTTTTTAGCACTAAATGGCTTTCACTTTACATTAACATGAGATAATATTTTCCTAAAGTATATTGCTGTGTGCTGCAGTGTGTCGCACCAACAAAACCCAACGCATCTAAGTGCCATATGATATAAATCAAAGGACAGGTTTTTTCAGAGATAATATGAAGTAATAATGCAAAAATAGAAATGTGTTTGCTTTGCTTTTTTTTCTATGTTATGAGGCCTTAAATTACTTATTTCAGCAAACATACTTTAATCTTTGTTTAAAGGTGTTTGTGTAGCTTTAAGGGACTTGTGACCTGGAGTGAAATGCGATGTTATGGGAATGTCTTCTACAGTTTCCAGGCTATATATTTGAAATTTCACTTATCATTCACTGCCCTCGATAAAATTGTGAAGTGCTCTTTAATGCTCAACAAACGTGCAATTATGTGTAGGTGACTGCCATGGACTAGAAATTGCTTTCATTATCTTCTGTTACAGGATCATTATGGAGGGAATTTTGATGTTAGTATCCTCAGAGTTAAAACAAGAGTGTTACATTTCGTGTGTTTCTTATCAAACCTAGACTATCAAATTAATTTCATTGTGTAATTTATGGGAGTAAATAGACATTTTGGGATGTAATCAGAAGGAAGTAGTTGGACTGTGGAGCTTCAGCGGTAGTGTGTTGGTATAAACCATTTCCTAGTAAACTAGAAAAGTGGCCTGCCTAGTTTCCTTAATTGCCTTGGATTATAATTCAGTGTAGAACACACCACAAGTTCACAGATTTTGATAACACAATTTAGTTTTTTTAGCATTCTCTACATATGTGAGAGCGTATTTAATGTTTTTGTCTGAAAACAGAATGGAAGGCATAGCTGCAATCCTGGTTTCCAGATAACAGTTTAGAAGTAGTTTAGAATCTCTTTTGTTGTGGAACTGTCACCAGAGCCTCGTGAAGAGTGATGTGGAAAGTCAGAGAATGATTTAAAAGAATTTAAGAGTTGCAGGCCTTCGCCTTGCCTGATCTACAAGTATAGATTGCACATATAAGCCTGATGTTTTTGAAGTTCTGTTAACTGATCTAATTGCCATTGTGGTTCTAAGACATAAAATCAAATGATATTCTCAAGGTTTTTTGTCATTTGAAAATATTTCAAGTAATAAGCAAAACAGGATTGAATAAAAAACAAAGTTCACATTTTACAAGCCCTTGTTGACAAGCAAATGTTAAACTCTGAGCCTGTGAATTATCACATAAATAAACATTTATGTGTTCTTGTATATTATAAAGGTCTTCAAAGCAGTCTATCCAAGTCTTAAAGATGAGAAGTACCTGTGGAATGCAGTGGTTGGTGAAGTTATTTTTACAGCTCAAATAATTAAGCGAAGTCTGCTGGACCGTTTACTGCCACAGCATAAGGAGTACAATGACGATCTCCCTGAGAGAAAATCTGAATTCCGACCTCAAGTGAAATGTTTTTCAGAAGATCTTGAACGACTCCTTGCTGAAAAAAGCACAAAACCATTTGTCAATGGAAATATGGTTTATATACCTCTTGCAACGGTCTTTTCTTTTCCCAAAGTGAATCAGCTTTGTGGTACGCTTGAGAAATTACGGCAGCTTATTGCAGGTGAGGTCGTGCTGAGCAGTGATGGTTCTGCTGTGGTGTTCAATATTGAACATGAGAATGAAGAGAATTAGATCACAGATTTCTCATACAAAGTTCGGTTCAGATGATGAAAGTGTTTTTTTAGTAGCTGTCAAATGGTGTGTTCTGTGTGCTAACTAGAACCACCAAATCTCTTCTAAACCTTCCTGTATTTATCCATCAGCACCTCTCTCATTTAGCCAAGATGAGTGTCTCTGACAAAGGTCACAGTAACTTGTAGGGTGTTGAAGTAGAGTATCAGGAATAAAAGGAATAAACTAAATCCTGTGAAGAAAAATTTGTAAGTATTTGTGTTTGTTTCCTGTTACCATGTTGTAGCTATCATGACTAGATTCTTTTCAGTAATCTGTCGTTAGCTCCAAGGGTAGTTGGTGATAACAGAGTTATGGTGTTGTGCTGAAAAATAGGAGTCAGAGACAGGCTTAGGACAAGTTTTTTCTTAATAGAATAAAATTTATAGATGCCTTTTTCAAGACGAGCACACACTCAGCCTTTGTGAAAACCAGATACTGTTCCAGATAAATTGGAGTGTGCCACTGACCTTTATAGCTCTGTAAATTCAGTACTGGGGAAGAGTGCCATGGTCTTGGATGTAAGGTGGGAAAAAAAGGTAGATTTAGCCCGGTTGTTTTATCCAGTTTCTGGATAACTGCCGCTTGGGAAGTACCTTGCATCCTGTCGCTTTCCAGAAGCTGAAATTAATTAATTTGAAACTGATATCTTGGACTATTCCAGTTTTGAAAAAATAAAGAAATGTGTCATTGTAAATGCTAACCTGGCCCCAATATACCTGGGAATAAAAGGTCTATGTTTTCACACCAGTGGTCCAAAAAAACTCTTTACACCACATTCAACAAAAATGAAGGGCAGAGGCATTACAGGTGGTAGAGCTTACTGGCTTGGGCAAGATGAATTTTTCTTAGGTAGAGCTGAATTGTATTTGTAAATGCACAGTAAACACAAATTACAGACATGGACTATTGAGAATTAACATGATATTTAGAATGAATTTTAAGAATTATCAGTTACAGTTCCTCTTTATTCCAATATTTAGAATGGTTTCGCTTTTTTTTTGACATTGTGGTAAGAACTTGCCATAGTTGATACCTTAAAGTATGTAAAAATCAAAATTGGTAAATATTCTTTGGACATTTATAAGCATGGGTGTTTGAGAGTAGCATTGGTTTCTAATGAGGAGATATCTCTGCAGCTCATTATAGGGTATGCTGTAGTTACAAGATTTTTTTTGGACCACAGAATATCTTCCTCTGTTGTGGGATATTTAGAGAACAGCAGACATGTTTTGAACAAGCCAGGCAGCCTGTTTTTTGGACAAGTTTTAGGCCTCGCTTGACAAGAGTTTGTGAAGGACATTGTGAAGGTCACTGGCTGTGAGGATATGCTGAAGCAAACAAAAACAAGGAGCTGTGACTGGTGTATGTGACTGAAAACAGAAACAAACCCAGGCTGCAGGTGGGGAGAAACAGGAGTGTGATCAGCAGCGAAGAGCTAATCAGCAAAAGGAAAACAGCGTGTGAACAGGACCATGGACTGCGTGTGCTTGTTGTTAATAGCCAATCAATATAGAGCATTTAGAAAACAAGGATGTTGGGAACTGTATATAAACTGCGTTAGTCTGTGAATAAAGCGTCGTTTGCTTGATCACATTGATCGTCAGCAGT